CATCACCGTAGGGAGTGAGCCAACGAAGTGCAGTGAAAGCAAGACGTAGCGTAAGCGGAGGCGCAGCTGAGAACGAAACGCAGTGGAGCGATTAAAAGAAAGCTTTTAGAGAAGCTTCATTGACAATTAACATCAAGAACAGTTTGAACACCTTCACTTCGTTGCGGTGTCACGGGGCTCCGCCCCGTCCCCCTTTCCACATCTTGGAAGGGATTTAAATAGTAATTGTCACTAAGTAAGTAACAGTCTGACTAAGGTTTGGGCTCTAACTATCATCAAAATCATTTCACTTAAGAGAACAATCTACGCAGTATCACAGCTAAAGCAAAGCAGGTGGTCATCGCTCTCGATTCAAAACGCTCTAAGCTAGTCTACTTGGCTCTCGCCCTCGACCTCCCGTCGATTCAACCGCATCCAACTTCCAGTTTCAGCAGCACCGGCCTGCCCGCTACAGACAGGGCACAAGCAAGCTCTCTGAGCACAACTAAAATCCCTCATCCTCTGAGGAATCTAGGCACTGCCTCCGTCGCTTACGCTGTAACCTAGAGTACCGCTGGTTCACCTTGGAAAAGGGACTCTCCCCCTCCTCTCCACAGTCCGTCTCCGACATCTCCCATGCCTGGGTAGGGCGGGCGCACCCATCACCCGACTCTCGCACTTGCGTACTCACCGTGGCTCCCCGGCCACATCCGTCCAACTCGGACATTGAGCTATCCGCCCACACGGAACCATGCTGAACCAGGCTTTTCAGCCCGTTGATACCGTCCAGTATCGAGTCTAGCATCCCCTGTGCTTTGATCACGTCGCTCTCCACTTGGCTCGCCCGGGCTTCCACCGCTCTGCAGTGACAGCAAGAAAAAGGAACTCCCGTTGCCTTGGAAGTATCCTGCCCCAACCCACTTGGTTGGTCAACAAAGAGCATCCGGGGCACAAACCCGGAAGAGACCACTCGGTCCTGCCTCGTGCGACTCCTGCCCGTCCCGGTCAGTGCTTCCAACTTGCGCTTCGCTCTCCGCTGCCGCTCCACTCTATCGAACACTTCATCTTCTGAAGCTGCCCGCCTCCTCGGCGTCTGGGGCTGCGCGTCCACCGCAACACCACCTTCGCTGTCCTCCGTGACATCGTCGTCAACAATGAAGTCTGCCAGACTACCCGGGCTATCCGAGCCCTCTCGCGACAGGAAACCGTCCACGATTCCCCCTTGCCTCCGTCAGCTTGCCACCAAACCAGCGTGCTCCTGCACTTACCGCTCTCCAAGAGCTCTGAGCTCTGCGTGCTAACAAACGACATCCTGTCTATGTCGAGTCCCTCGACGTGTGTGAGTCCGGTCTCCGCCGCGATCACAAAAAGAGAAAAAGCACAAAACCAAAAGTGTTTTGAAGGAAGAAAGAACCCAGGTTACTTTCCGTCTCAAGACTGGGACCTCCGTCCTCTTTAAACAACCCTTCCAGTAGTCTCGTTCCACTTCAATCATTGGTTCCCTGAACCCCTGCACACAAAGATCCACTTTGTGTCAGTAACACTAACCAAATATGGTTAGCTCTACTCGTTATCAGTCCTCCGTCCTTATCACTACTAGTACCAAAAAGCCCGTGCTTTTTTTACCATTTGACAGTTGGGCCATGGCCCAAAACTGTCCTTAACACGTCTAGACCACATTTAGCAAGCAAAATGTTAGATGGGCCATTGGGCCATCGTCTATCAACAACAAATTATAAACCGGCCACGGGCCGGGGTTGATCGACGACAGGCGGCCTTCGGCGACGAGGAGCAAAGCCAAACGCAGGTGCGCAGCACCGTAG